CTTCTTCGCTCACTGTTTCACCTGAGAGCAAGAGAATGGGTATACTCTTGATCGGTGGAACCGGTGCACCACGTGCTTGCATGTCAGGCGTGCCTTGTATTGACTTTGAGTCGTTAGGTGCGGCTCCAGGTACTCTCTCACGAAGTGCCTGGCAGCTCACCACCTCCTCAGGAGTCTTAGGCCCATGGCCAATGACCCACGTTGCCAATGTTTGGCCGGCCGCTTGACGTAGACGTTCCTCCACACTGGGTGGGGTGAACACATAGTCAAGCTGGCGTTCAAGGGTTGCAGCCATTTGTACATAACGCTGAGCGTTTTCTTCTCTTTGGACAAGCAATTGTTGTTGCTCATCGAGCGGGTTCGCGATGATAGTCTCATCAGAACCAGATGCTGCATGCTGCGCTGGCGGCGCGCTCGCACCTCCACGTTCAGCGAACGGATTTGGGGTGTTCGAAAGTTGTGCCTCAGGCATCAGTGAGCCGGACGTTGTCCCTGTGTCACCGCGGACACTGGTATCGCTATCATAGTCCACCTCTTCCTCAATTCCGAGGTAGTCCCACAGAGTCTTTGACTCGTTGGGTGATGAGGACATCGTGCTAGAGCGTACGTTGCCGTGAGGTTTACCGTACACACACTGTTCTCGCTGAGAACACAAGCTCGACTGACGTTTTGGGAAACGTCAGTCTGGTGGGGGGAGGGTGTAACGGGGTTCCACGAAATTATGGTACTTTGTACCAGAGGTGTTACACACCTGAAGTTACCCCTTTGTGAAGGTGATAGAGAATATCCTTTTGGTTTGTAGGGGCTGACGAGTGTCAGCCATTAAGTACGAAAGGTCTTTGAGTAGGATTGAGATATTCTATAAGCTTTAACCAAAATAAAAGCAGTTCCCATTTTGATCAAAAGGACACGTGGCGTGCGAGTCGTCTTGATCGTTGATCACTGATCACCAAGAGTAAGCAACACCTCCTTGAGGTAGCTACTCTTGAGCACTGAATGCTGTCGATTCACTGGATCGTTAGGTTACCTGGAACAGGGATCTGAAGCTGTAAAGCTTGTTGACTCGTAAAATCGCATGTTCTTTGGAACTAAGCTGCTCGTAGAGCGTTAAGTCTTCCTCTGACTTAAGGAGCTGTGTAACTCCGCTACAGTTATGGCCATGATTGCAAGCGCACCAGTGGTGTTCAAGTCGAAGTAGCAGCGAGCGGTTGCGCTTAGCTGGACGGGAGCTGAATGTATGACGCTCATTTTTTGCACCTAAGAAGTTCTTTGGACGCGTGCGATGCTAAAGGACATGGGTCACGAACAAGTGAGAGGTGGGAAGATAATCAACGAGCGATTGCTTTGGCCAACAAACCCGTATACCACGCTTGGACAAAGCGTGTGGACGTTAGACATCACTTTGTTCCTTGAATATGTGCAAGACGTAATATTAAAGATCGACTACATTGACACGAAAAATCAACTCGCGGATACGCTTAACAGGCACTCGGAACCAAGATAATAAAATTTATGTGCGAGGCAACCGGGATTAAGACAAGCCAGATTCCAAGACCGGCACACAGTAGAGGCGAATGGGAGTGTTGAGTTTACGCCGCTTAATGCAGTCGTTTCATGTTGGGTTCAAGGTAATGATTTGTGTGTCAGGGTGTTTCATGGTGTTGGTTATAGATAAATGTTATGGATCGCGGTTACATAATGAGATCACAGGAGTTCGTTACATAAAGGCTTAGACTTAGCTGAGGGTAGTGAATTAAGGACCTTCAATATATTCACTTCGGTTTAACCTTCTTTGCAACAATCATGTGCTTTCTTTTCAGGTTACATTGAGGAACATGATATTGTTACCACATGGATAACACATGACGATCAGAACCGATGCAAGTCCACGATATTCCGCTGTTGCAGCAACTTCTTCAATCTCGAAGCGCATCAAAGGCGCTTCAAGTCCTACAATTCAACACTCCACAACCTCCTATCCTGCAGCTTGAGATACTGGAAGCTAAAAAAGCTTCTCATGAACGGGTACCCAAAAGTCGGACGTCTCATTCATTTACACTCGTAAACGCGTATATCGATACTCGTGTGTGTCCTTATCGATTGAAGATACCGTCCGATGCAGACAAGTGTATCGACTCGCAGCTTGCCTGGAGACAGACGGCGCTTGAGCGCATCAATGCAAATGGTAACACCAACGAATGCTTCTTCTTCACAAGAACAAACCTCCATTCAATTGTTCAATCGTGGGGGGTGGACACTACAAGTTGTGCTTCTTTTCTGTCTCTACCTCCGCGCATTTCTCCGTCGATGTCATCTCCGTTGACTTTTCATGGACAGTAGTGTCCGCCAGCGGCGCAGGTGTCATCGACGGTGTCACGTCTCGATCAACTTCTGACTCGGCCTGCAGCTGGCCTTTCACTGACGTCTTCTGTGCCGCACCGAATGGCGTCTGCTGCCACAGCGTTTCAAACTCCTCCGGACTGCCGCTTGAACAAATGGACTCGTGCTGTTCATCATCTCCCTTGCCTTGTCGTCGCCAAGTTGTGCGCATCTTCTTTCCGTCGATCTCTCGTTCATGCACCGCTTTGAGATGACCCGTGGAGTCTTCGTAGCGGCGACGTGTGGTCGTCACTCGCCGACCCTTGTCGTCCATAACGGACGAGCTACTGAACGAATAAGACGAGAATGAGTGGCTCACCGGGTCGTCATCCTTCAATGTCTTGGTGCTGGATACTTGTTGATCCTGTTGCGGTGCGTTTTGCACCGGTTGGAACGCCGTCGGCTTGTACTTGTGTGCCACCACAGGCAGGTCGACGAAGAAGTCGTCATCGTCCGTCGACTTCCCGGAGTACATGACGTGCTTTGGAGTTTGAGTGGCGGCATCTCTCGACGCGCCCCAAAGGGAGGAGCGCGGTCGCATCATGCTGTCACCCATGTGCTCGAGCTCCATCATGGACTGTTCCAGAGATGACATGGGGTACCAGAAGCGCGGTCGTACGAGATCCCACGAGCTAAACATGGTTGCGTAACTTTGTCGTGTGTGGGTTGTTGCTACTGGTCGATCGTGCGGTTGGATGCAAATTGGGAAATGAAGGGGGACATGGGTCGCCGCTCTCTTGGCGTGCAGACAGAGGCGAACCGATCATGATGATGTTGAAGTGCTTCGATCGAATGTTGTCGAAAGTAGCGTTTGAACCGTCCGATTCAAAATGTCATACACCTGAGGTGGCTGTTTTCTAGAAATGACTCCGTCTTTTTCACCTTCTTTTTTCGCGAATGCTTTTCCACTGACGACTAGAAAGTCGAGACGAAACCGATGGTCCTTCCAGTCTTCCGATACTATACGCGCATGACACCACCCTTCCGGCGGGTACTGTCGTCCACTTGAATTGCGATCTTCTGGCAGGACCCCGCATCTTCAGGAGGAGAATGCACAGCGGTGCTCAGGTCGGTGATCAGATGTTGTGTGGAAGTCGCGAGTTTCCGTAGCTTTCAGCCGCCGTCGATATCCCATTTGCCATTGTGACCATACCAGCAGTAGTCGAGGAACAACGACTTCGTTCATTCTTTGAATACCAATCCCTCATTAGTACTGAAGGCAGTGTTTCTACATGTATTCGTGTACCGTCGACATGTGTCATCTATTCTGGTCGCAATGTGCGTTTTTCCTGTGCCTCTTGATGCGACTTTTTGCAGTCGCTTTCCTTAATGTACGACGACAGCGTCGTGATAAGAATCAAAAACGCAGTCGATCAACAAAGTGCAGAGTAGGTGGTCACATTAAAAAAACAAGTCATACCTCTCGCTGTCCGTCTTGTCCGTAGAGACTCGTACCCAAGCTGCTCTTTGTGGTACAACTTCCAGCACGGATGCTCTCCCATTGAAACCGCGATACACATCCACTCAATCAACACTTACTCCAAAACTGCATGGTGGCATGACCTTGAAGTCGGTTCTATGTGGTCGCTGTTCAGTGGACAGGTACGTTGCTATGTCAACCACAGTTTCACTATCGGAGCTGTGTACATTATTACCCTTGTCAATACGTTTTGGGTTCCACTTTTGCTCTTAATGCTTCGAATGCCAAGCATTGCCGGTTTCATTCGTGCAGTCATTTGTTGAGGCCATTGTCGATACATTAATTTACTTGCGGTGGTTCATGGATCATATGTTGCCGTGCCATGGAACTGTGCACTGGCAATCAAATATGTACTGGCGTGCGCTGTGATGATAGCATACACTACGAATGAACGGCAGCACACCTGTGGACATCCCTTCGTCTCAACTTCCTTCTAGACGAGCAAAAAACGATATCATGACTGCGTTGCCCACATTGATATTCACTTCTGCTCACACGTCTTATCCAGCTACCATCTACAGCTTGTACATGTTGATTGTACCCTATTGACCGAGATGAACCATCTATTCGAGTTCAATGATGTACGACGAAGCCAGCACATAGATCGATCCTGCATTCAGCTTTCACGTAATGAGGAGTTTTGATGCAGCTTTGTACCGATTTTGCTTGTTGATTTGTCATGTGCTTTCTTTTCAGGTTACATTGGGGAACATGATATCGTTACCACATGGATAACACATGACGATCAGAACCGGTGTAAGTCCACGATACTCCGCTGTTGCAGCAACTTCTTCAATCTCGAAGCGCATCAAAGGCATTTCAGGTCCTACAATTCAACACTCCACAACCTCCTATCCTGCAGCTTAACTGGATGAGACACCAGAAGCGAAAAAAAGCTTCTCATGAACGGGTACCCAAAAGTCGGACGTCTCGTTCATTTACACTCGTAAACGCGTATCTCGATACTCCTATGTGTCCTTATCGGTTGAGGATACCGTCCGATGCAGACAAGTGTATCGACTCGCAGCTTGCCTGGAGACAGACGGCGCTTGAGCGCATCAATGCAAATGGTAACACCAACGAATGCTTCTTCTTCACAAGAACAAACCTCCACTCAATTGTTCAATCATGGTAGTGGACACTACAAGTTGTGCTTCTTTTCTGTCTCTACCTCCGCGCATTTCTCCGTCGATGTCATCTCCGTTGACGTTTCATGGACAGTAGTGTCCGCCAGCGGCGCAGGTGTCATCGACGGTGTCACGTCTCGATCAACTTCTGACTCGGCCTGCAGCTGGCCTTTCACTGACGTCTTCTGTGCCGCACCGAATGGCGTCTGCTGCCACAGCGTTTCAAACTCCTCCGGACTGCCGCTTGAACAAATGGACTCGTGCTGTTCATCATCTCCCTTGCCTTGTCATCGCCAAGTTGTGCGCATCTTCTTTCCGTCGATCTCTCGTTCATGCACCGCTTTGAGATGACCCGTGGAGTCTTCGTAGCGGCGACGCGTCGTTGCCACTCGTCGACCCTTCTCGTCCACAACAGATGAGTTGCTGAACGAGTAAGACGAGAACGAGTGGCTCATCGGGTCGTCATCCTTCAATGTCTTGGTGCTGGATACTTGTTGATCCTGTTGCGGTGCGTTTTGCACCGGTTGGAACGCCGTCGGCTTGTACTTGTGTGCCACCACAGGCAGGTCGACGAAGAAGTCGTCATCGTCCGTCGACTTCCCGGAGTACATGACGTGCTTTGGAGTTTGAGTGGCGAGCATCTCTCGACGCGCCCCAAAAGGGAAGCGCGGTCGCATCATGCTGTCACTCATGTGCTCGAGCTCCATCATAGACTGTTCGAGTGACGACATGGGGTACCAGAAGTGCGGTCGCACGAGATCCCACGAGCTGAACATGGTTGCGTAACTTTGTCGTGTGTGGGTTGTTGCTACTGGTCGATCGTGCGGTTGGATGCAAATTGGGAAATGAAGGGGGACGTGGGTCGCCGCTCTCTTGGCGTGCAGACAGAGGCAGACCGATCATGATGATGTTGAAGTGCTTCGATCGAATGTTGTCGAAAGTAGCGTTTGAACCGTCCGATTCAAAATGTCATACACCTGAGTGGCTGTTTTCTAGAACCGACTCCCGTCTTTTTCACCTTCTTTTTCGCGGATGTTTTTCCACTGACGACTAGAAAGTCGAGACGAAACCGATGGTCCTTCCAGTCTTCCGATACTATACGCGCATGACACCACCCCTTCCGGCGGGTACCGTCGTCCACGTGAATTACGATCTTCTTGCGGACCCCGCATCTTCAGAAGAATACACAACGGTGCTCAGGTCGAGGATCAGATGTTGTGTGGAAGTCGCGAGTTTCCGTAGCTTTTCAGCCGCCGTCGATATCCCATTTGCCATTGTGACCATACCAGCAGTAGTCAAGAACAACGACTTCGTTCATTCTTTGAACATCAATCGCTCATTAGTACTGAAGGCAGTGTTTCTGCATGTTTTCGTGTATTGTCGACACGTGTCATCTACTCTGGTCGCAATGTGCGTTTTTCCTGTGCCTCTTGATGCGACTTTTTGCAGTCGCTTTCCTTGTGTACGACGACAGCATTGTGATAAGAATCAAAACGCAGTCGATCAACAAATTGCAGAGTAGGTGGTCACATTAAAAAACAAGTCATACCTCTCGCGCTGTCCGTCTTGTCCGTGGAGACTCGTACCCAAGCTGCTCTTTGTGAGCACGACTTCCAGCACGGATGCTCTCATTGAAACCGTGATACACATCCACTCAATCAACACTTACTCCAAAACTGCATGGTAGCATGACCTTGAAGTCGGTTCTATGTGGTCGCTGTTCGGTGGACGGGTACGTTGCTATGTCAACCACAGTTTCACTATCGGAGCTGTGTACATTATTACCCTTGTCAATATGTTTTGGGTTCCACTTTTGCTCTTAATGCTTCGAATGCCAAGCATTGCCGGTTTCATTCGTGCAGTCGTTGTTGATGCCATTGTCGATACGTGGTACTTGCGGTGGTTCACGGATCATATTTTGCCGTGCCATTGGAACCTGTGCGCCAGCAATTAAATGTGTGCTGGCGTGCGCTGTGGTGATAGCATACACTACGAATGAACGGCAGCACACCTGTGGACATCCTTTCGTCTCAACTTCCTTCCAGTCGAGTGAAAAACGATATCATGACTGCGTTGCCCACATTGATACTTACTTCTGCTCGCACATCTTATCCAGCCACCATCTACAGCTTGTACATGTTGATTGTACCCTATTGACCGAGATGAACCATCCATTCGAGTTCAATGATGTACGACGAAGCCAGCACATAGATCGATCCTGCATTCAGCTTTCACGTAATGAGGAGTTTTGATGCAGCTTTGTACCGATTTTGCTTGTTGATTTGTCATGTGCTTTCTTTTCAGGTTACATTGGGGAACATGATATCGTTACCACATGGATAACACATGACGATCAGAACCGGTGTAAGTCCACGATACTCCGCTGTTGCAGCAACTTCTTCAATCTCGAAGCGCATCAAAGGCATTTCAGGTCCTACAATTCAACACTCCACAACCTCCTATCCTGCAGCTTAACTGGATGAGACACCAGAAGCGAAAAAAAGCTTCTCATGAACGGGTACCCAAAAGTCGGACGTCTCATTCATTTACACTCGTAAACGCGTATCTCGATACTCCTATGTGTCCTTATCGGTTGAGGATACCGTCCGATGCAGACAAGTGTATCGACTCGCAGCTTGCCTGGAGACAGACGGCGCTTGAGCGCATCAATGCAAATGGTAACACCAACGAATGCTTCTTCTTCACAAGAACAGACCTCCACTCAATTGTTCAATCATGGTAGTGGACACTACAAGTTGTGCTTCTTTTCTGTCTCTACCTCCGCGCATTTCTCCGTCGATGTCATCTCCGTTGACGTTTCATGGACAGTAGTGTCCGCCAGCGGCGCAGGTGTCATCGACGGTGTCACGTCTCGATCAACTTCTGACTCGGCCTGCAGCTGGCCTTTCACTGACGTCTTCTGTGCCGCACCGAATGGCGTCTGCTGCCACAGTGCTTCAAACTCCTCCGGACTACCGCTCGAGCAGATGGACTCGTGCTGTTCATCATCTCCCTTGCCTTGTCGTCGCCAAGTTGTGCGCATCTTCTTTCCGTCGATCTCTCGTTCATGCACCGCTTTGAGATGACCCGTGGAGTCTTCGTAGCGGCGACGTGTGGTCGTCACTCGCCGACCCTTGTCGTCCATAACGGACGAGCTACTGAACGAATAAGACGAGAACGAGTGGCTCATCGGGTCGTCATCCTTCAATGTCTTGGTGCTGGATACTTGTTGATCCTGTTGCGGTGCGTTTTGCACCGGTTGGAACGCCGTCGGCTTGTACTTGTGTGCCACCACAGGCAGGTCGACGAAGAAGTCGTCATCGTCCGTCGACTTCCCGGAGTACATGACGTGCTTTGGAGTTTGAGTGGCGAGCATCTCTCGACGCGCCCCAAAAGGGAAGCGCGGTCGCATCATGCTGTCACTCATGTGCTCGAGCTCCATCATAGACTGTTCGAGTGACGACATGGGGTACCAGAAGCGCGGTCGCACGAGATCCCACGAGCTGAACATGGTTGCGTGACTTTGTCGTGTGTGGGTTGTTGCTACTGGTCGATCGTGCGGTTGGATGCAAATTGGGAAATGAAAGGGGACGTGGGTCGCCGCTCTCTTGGCGTGCAGACAGAGGCAGACCGATCATGATAATGTTGAAGTGCTTCGATCGAATGTTGTCGAAAGTAGCGTTTGAACCGTCCGATTCAAAATGTCATACACCTGAGTGGCTGTTTTCTAGAACCGACTCCCGTCTTTTTCACCTTCTTTTTCGCGAATGCTTTTCCACTGACGACTGGAAAGTCGAGACGAAACCGATGGTCCTTCCAGTCTTCCGATACTATACGCGCATGACACCACCCCTTCCGGCGGGTACCGTCGTCCACGTGAATTACGATCTTCTTGCGGACCCCGCATCTTCAGAAGAATACACAACGGTGCTCAGGTCGAGGATCAGATGTTGTGTGGAAGTCGCGAGTTTCCGTAGCTTTTCAGCCGCCGTCGATATCCCATTTGCCATTGTGACCATACCAGCAGTAGTCGAGGAACAACGACTTCGTTCATTCTTTGAATACCAATCCCTCATTAGTATTGAAGGCAGGATTTTCTGCGTCTTCTCGTGTACTGTCGACATGTGTCATCTACTCTGGTCGCAATGTGCGTTTTTCCTGTGCCTCTTGATGCGACTTTTTGCAGTCGCTTTCCTTGTGTACGACGACAGCGTCGTGATAAGAATCAAAACGCAGTCGATCAACAAATTGCAGAGTAGGTGGTCACATTAAAAAACAAGTCATACCTCTCGCGCTGTCCGTCTTGTCCGTGGAGACTCGTACCCAATCTGCTCTTTGTGAGTACAACTTCCAGCACGGATGCTCTCATTGAAACCGCGATACACATCCACTCAATCAACACTTACTCCAAAACTGCATGGTGGCATGACCTTGAAGTCGGTTCCATGTGATCGTTGTTCAGTGGACGGGTACGTTGCTATGTCAACCACAGTTTCACTATCGGAGCTGTGTACATTATTACCCTTGTCAATACGTTTTGGGTTCCACTTTTGCTCTTAATGCTTCGAATGCCAAGCATTGCCGGTTTCATTCGTGCAGTCGTTGTTGAGGCCATTGTCGATATATGGTACTTGCGGTGGTTCACGGATCATATTTTGCCGTGCCATTGGAACCTGTGCGCCGGCAATTAAATATGTACTGGCGTGCGCTGTGATGATAGCATACACTACGAATGAACGGCAGCACACCTGTGGACATCCCTTCGTCTCAACTTCCTTCCAGAAGAGCGAAACACGATATCATGACTGCGTTGCCCACATTGATATTCACTTCTGCTCACACGTCTTATCCAGCTACCATCTACAGCTTAAACATGTTGATTGTACCCTAGGCATAAAAACGAGTCTGTACAAAAAAGTACCAAAAATTCAGCTTGATGACGATAGCTGACGAGAAAGAGCATGAAAAAATACATCTGGTCCGTATAGTTACAAAGTCTAAAAATGTTTCATATATAGACTTTATTGACCGAGATGAACCATCCATTCGAGTTCAATGATGTACGACGAAGCCAGCACATAGATCGATCCTGCATTCAGCTTTCACGTAATGAGGAGTTTTATGCAGCTTTGTACCGATTTCGCTTGTTGATTTGTCATGTGCTTTCTTTTCAGGTTACATTGAGGAACATCATATCGTTACCACATGGATAACACATGACGATCAGAACCGGTGTAAGTCCACGATACTCCGCTGTTGCAGCAACTTTTTCAATCTCGAAGCGTATCACAAGGCATTTCAGATCCTACAATTCAACACTCCACATCCTATCCTGCAGCTTAAAGGGGTGAAATAACTAGAACCAAAAAAAGCTTCTCATGAAGGGTGTAGCGGAGCTACACAGCACCTTAAGTCAGAGGAAGACTTAATGCTCTACGAGCAGCTTAGTTCTGAAGAACATGCAATTTTACGAGTCAACAAGCTTTACAGCTTCAGATCCCTGTTCCAGGGGACCAAACGATCCAGTGAATCGACAGCACTCAGTGCTCAAGAGTAGCTACCTCAAGGAGGTGTTGCTTACTCTTAGTGATCAGTGATCAACGATCGAGACGACTCGCACGCCACGTGTCCTTTAGATCAAAATGGGAAATGATTTTGTTTTTGTCAAAGCTTATAGAATATCTTAATCCTACTCAAAGATCTTTCGTACCTAATGGCTGACACTCGTCAGCCCCCACAAACCAAAAGGATATTCTCTATCACCTTCACAAAGGGG